GGAGATGCGCTGCCACTGGCGCGCCCACGGCTACCTGTGCAAGTACCAGTTCGAGGGCTTGTGCCCCGCGCCGCGCCCCGGGGCCGCCTCTGACTTGAGCTACCGCGCGCCCTTCCAGCTGCACAGCGCGGCGCTGGACTTCAGTCCCCCCGGGACCGAGGTGAGTGCGCGCTGCCCGGGGCAGCAATTCACCACGGCCACCTGCATCGTGGACGGGGTCGGCGCTCGCTGGGACGGGATACCCTCCGGGGCTGTGCTCTGTCCCTGCCCCGGGAGGTACCTCCGCGCAGGCAAATGCGCAGAGCTCTCTAACTGCCTGGACGACATGGAAGGCTTTGTCTGCGAGTGTGCTGCGGGCTTCGTGCTGGGGGAAGACGGACGCTCTTGTGTAACCTACGGAGAAGGACAGCCGGACCCGGGGGGAGCCAAGGGGCCCACCAGGCACCCCCTGGCCACTGCAGCCAGCCCCATGCCGAGGAGAACATGGTCACCCAGGGGCCCTGAAAAACCAGGAGAGATGCCCCAGATCCCTGGACAAGGCAGTTCAGCAACATCTATTTCTGAGATTCCTGGGTGGGGAGCAAAGAGCACGAAGCCCACCCTGCAGATGTCCCCTCAAGCCAACTCAGAGGCCACCATCACTTCTCCAGGAAGCGTGATTCCCACGTCTAATGCCACGTCTTCCTCTAACATGCCCAAGGCTTTGGACTCCTCCTCCACCGTGGTCTTCATACTTGTGAGCATAGCAGTGGTAGTGCTGGTGATCTTGACCATGACAGTGCTGGGGCTTTTCAAACTCTGCTTTCACAAAAGCCCTTCCTCTAGGCCAGGAAAGGGGCCTCTGGCCCCTCCTGGGGTGGAGAGTGGTGCGCAGGCTACTGCTCTGAGCTCCAATTCGGCACAGGACGCAATGGGGTGAAGTCGCAGGCTGCGGGACAGAGCAGATGGCGCCTCACTGATTGGGTCCTCTTTTGACTCGGAAGTCACATAGAGGAAGGGGACAGTGAGCACTTCTTGTGAGTAGTTTTTCACTCTCAACGAAAAGGGGAACGGAGAAGAGGGGCTTATCTGTGGAACTGGTGATTTCTGCAGAAGTTCCCTTCCCCTATTCCCTCTACCCCACGGGGGAGCTACATCCGAACTGGATGCTCCGTTTCTAATGCGGAAGAGGTGGGAGTGCCTTAGGCGGTACTGAGCCCAGGATTCTACCCGGGAGAGGGCTTTTCCTGTGGATTTGAAGAAGTGATTGGACTTTTTAAGATACTGAAAGCATATAGAAAACAATACAATATTTTACATTTTATTTTTTACCACGATGGAAAGAAAAACTCTGTTCAGAATGGGAATATATTGATTTAAAAATCCCAGGCAAAAAAATAAATAAATAAAGGATTGTTGATAACCCAGACTCAAATGTCATTGGTTTCCTGGAGGAGTAATTATTTAGGAAGAGCAGCTGAGGAGCTCGCTGGACATGGCAGCAAGAGTACGTCCTGCCTTTAGGTTGAGGGGGGAAATGTTAAGAACTAGTAACTTCTTCCTTGTTTTCTTTTTTTAAATATATTTTGCTTTCAAAGTTACTGCTATGTGTGTGCTCTGCTAGAAATCTAAACTGCAGTGTTGCCAAATTCGCTGGCTCTAGAAGCAAATTATAGTTGACCACGCATTCAAGTGTTTACTGTGTGTCCTTGCTCAAGGAAACAAATGGTTTGTTTTGCTCTCCCAATGTTTGTGCTCTCCAGTGTAATGACCTTCCCAACCAAATAGCCCTCTCCTGAGTATCACGATGCTGATGCTCGCTTCCAATTATAGCAATGTTAGTTTTCAATTGAAACATTAATGCTAAGTATTGATTTGAAATCTTCTGGGTGCATTAAAGCAAAAGTAAGCTGGATTTCCTCCAAAGTTGCTGGTACTTGTGCACTGTTTAATCCATGGAAAAACTTGAATTCCAGACCATTTCCTCCCCCACTTAATAAAAGCATGTGTAGTGACCATACGCACTCATCTTGGAGTGATTTCAATTTAATAAGAGTCTACAGGGGCAAAAGCATGACAAACAGCCTTCCATAAGAATATCTATCATCTTGTTAGGACTTGGGGTATTAGAAAGTAATTTAAGTGAAGCATTCCTCAAAAAACAATTAAGACAACAATAATCACTATCTAGTGGAATTGAGACCCCCCGCCCCTAGAAAATATTCCTCTTCTACTTATATAACAAATCTTTAAAATTAAGTGTGTGGAGATTGGTGCATGGAGACAGATAGAGAAACAAGCTTAGCAACCATAAAGTTTACACTATATCTTCATAGAACCATTTTTATGTTCTTGAGTGTGCAGTGTACAAAATATATACAGGGGTGGGCAAAAGTAGGTTTACAATTATGAGTACACAAAACAGAGTTTATTATTGTGTTATTTACTTATTTATTTATTTATTATATTTATTATTATTATTAACCTACTTTTGCCCACCCCTGCATATATAATATATATGGTGTTACAATATTAAAGGAATAAAGTAACAGGTAATTTGCTTCATATGTTAAAGATTTGTCTAAGCAGTTGCATTTAAATAAAATCACAAATGAATTAGAATTAACAACATTCAAAGGAATTTTAAATAAAATCATTTCACAAATAAGTGTGAAGAATAAATTAGTGTCAGCTCAATTACTCTGTTCTTTTCACCTATTCTCCTTGTAAGTAGATCAGGAAAGAATTACAGAAAACGCTTTCATATTTGATTTCCTGAGACATAGCAATTGCAGACCAAGCTTCATATAATTTCCTTTGATTTCTAGCTATGAAGTCTTCCATAAAATTTTTAATCTATAGCAGAATCAGGCCAGCTAGGCACAGTGCTTAAGAAATATTTAAGGTTAGGATCCATGTCCTTCCTCTGTACTACGTCTCCACTATCACTTCATTAATTCTTCAACCTCTTTGAGGTTCATTTCTTTCTTACTTAAAGCCCTCTTCCCTTACACTCATTTCATAGATGTCTGTTCAGTTATTTCCTTACAAGAAAGACTTGGAACTGAACTTACAGTCTTTCTCTCCAGCCTAAGTCCTGCCATCGTCTTACACAATCTCAAAGTCCTCAAGTATGACTCTTCCAATGTTGTGCATTCCCGTTCCTTGACTTCCTCACTTCCAACTACCTTCACTTTATTTCAGCCATCCACTCCAGCAGCCACACCTTAACCTTTCGGCTGATTCTGACACTGCTCCACATCTGCAAACACAAATTCAGGCATTCGTGCATGTGCACATGTGTACATGTTGAAACCTGTATATTAATGAACTTTCCCACTGATTAGAAGTAAACCATTATTGGTGAACTTTGAGATTCCTTCTTTCTTACAATGATAAGCCTTGCTGTGAATAGTGGCCTTACATGGTATCATTCTTTTATTTCTCTCTCTCTCTCTCTCTCTCTCTCTCTCTCTCTCTCTCTCTTTAAAATAATTTCATATATACAGAAGTAATGAGTACCGTAAAACATTTTTTTCTTGAATTATTTACAAGTAAATTTTGGGCCTAATACTCCATTACCTCTGAATACTTTAGTAATTATTTCTAGGTTATTTAATTTGTTGGCATATAATTATTCATAGAATTTCCATATAATTCTTTTTTCATTTCCATAGAATTGATAATGATGTCCTCTCTTTATTTCTAATTTTGGTAATTTGAGTATTTCTTCTTTGGGGGATGGGATCAGTCTAACTAAGTCTGCCAATTTTGTTGACCTATTCAAATAACTAACTTTGGGAATCATCGATTTTTCTCTATTGTATTTCTAACCTCTATGTCATTTATTTTTTTTCTAATCTTTATTATTCCATCATTTTCTTTGTTTTGGGTTTACTGTGTTATTTTTCCAATTTTTCAGAGTAGAAAATTAGGTAATTGATTTAAGATTTTTCTTTATTAATACAGGTTTTTATAGCTATGCATTTCACTCTAACCTCTGCTTTAGTGACACCCAGTAAATCTGGCCATCTTGTGTTTTCATTTTCATTCATCTCCAAGTGTTTTCTAATTTTCCTTGTGATTTTAAAAAATATATTGGTTATTTAGGAGGATGTTGCTTAATTTCTACATATTTTATAACTTCCCTACATTCCTTCTGTTTTTAATTTGATTTCATTTTATTTAAAAACATACTTTGTATGGCTTCAACCCTTTTTAACTTACTGAGGTCACTCACTTTTAATGTTGAATTATCTATGTCTACCTTTAGTTCTGCCAT